AGATCTGCACGGCCCCCCCCCCCGCAATAGCTAGCAATCCAAAACAGTCCAGTGGCACCTTTAAGACCAGGTTTTATTCAGGTACGAGCTCTCCCTCCTCTGTGAGGACAGATCTGCACGTCCCCCCCCTGCAATAGCTAGCAATCCAAAACAGTCCAGTGGAGCCTGAGCGGTGGGTGTTGCCTTCTGACACACTTCCGGTGATGTCAGGGGGTGTGGCATATGCAAATAAGCTATGCTAATGAGTTATGCTAATGAGCTCCTGCACCTCTTTTTCTACAAAAGGACCCCTGCCTTCTATGCAGCTTATTAATGGTCATGGGAAAGCTTGGCATCTGGATACCCTGTCTGTGGCAAGCTGTGCACTGTTTGTGGCACTGGGTGCGAGGTGATTCTTGCCCAGAAGGCTTGCAATCTCTCAAAACAAACATAAGGAAAAATGGGTTACGGAGATGCCAACCTCCAGGTAGTGGCTGGAGGTCTCCCGGAATCACAGCTGATCCCCAGGCGACAGGGAGCAGTGCCCCTGGAGGGAAGAACAGCACCGTAGGGGGGATTGTATGGAATTATACCCCCTCCCTGAGCTCGCCTCCCCTCCCCAAATTCTGCCTTCCCCAGGCTCGGCCCCCAGATCTCCAGGAATTCCCCAAGCCAGAGCAGTTGATGGACATGAATGACAAATGGTAGAGACAGCGGGGAGGGCAGAAGACTTGTAAGGAGAGGCCAGGAAAGTCCCAGAAAAGTCTTGCTAAAGGAGTGGGTCTTGGACAGCATTTGGGGGGAGATTTTTCTTATTTGAAGGGCTCAGTGGTAGAACGTCTGTTTGGCACGCAAAAGGTCCCAGATTCAATCCCCGGCCTCTCCAATTAAAAGGACCAGGCAGGAGGGGATGGGAAAGACCTCCGCCTGAGACCCTGGAGAGCCATGAAGTGGGGCTGTAGCTCAGTGGAAGAGCCTCTGCTTGGTGTGCAGAAGGTCCCAGGTTCAATCCCCGGCATCTCCAGTTAAAAGGACCAGGTAGGAGGGGATGGGAAAGACCTGCGCCTGAGACCCTGGAGAGCCATGAAGTGGGGCTGTAGCTCAGTGGAAGAGCCTCTGCTTGGTGTGCAGAAGGTCCCAGGTTCAATCCCCGGCATCTCCAGTTAAAAGGACCAGGTAGGAGGGGATGGGAAAGACCTGCGCCTGAGACCCTGGAGAGCCATGAAGTGGGGCTGTAGCTCAGTGGAAGAGCCTCTGCTTGGTGTGCAGAAGGTCCCAGGTTCAATCCCCGGCATCTCCAGTTAAAAGGACCAGGTAGGAGGGGATGGGAAAGACCTGCGCCTGAGACCCTGGAGAGCCATGAAGTGGGGCTGTAGTTCAGTGGTAGAGCCTTTGTTTGGAATGCAGAAGGTCCCAGATTCGATCCCCGGCATCTCCAGTCAAAAGGACCAGGCAGGAGGTGATGTGAGTGCCTGGAAAGTAGACAAGATTGTCCTTGATGGATCGATAGTCTGATTCAATATGACTTGCGCAGGCCCTAAGAGATTTCAATAGAAAAGGGATAGAGAAGCTACTAGGTGAAACAGGCATTAGAACAAGCAGTGTCCTTGCTTGACTTCTGATAGGCAGGAAGCCCCACCCGTGTTTCTGGAAGGCAGGTCCATAGCATCAGCCGGCCACACAAGATGGTCTTCTTCTAGCTCTCACAAAATGGATGGATCTAAGGGAAGGTGCTGTGAGGAGAAGGTTGTCTGAAAAAAGTAATCGGGGCATAAGAATATATATCAGGGTGGGGTGTTTGATAGGTATAGGGTAACCATCTTACAGGGGGTGGTTGGTGTCCTCCTGGTATTACAACGGATGTGCAGGTGACAGAGATCAGTCTTTAGACGGATGACACTTTTCCCAGCTGGCACAGATCTCAACAAATAAGGAATGCTTCACCTGTTGAATTTCTGCCTGGTCCGAGTGATTCCTCCAATGGGACAGTGGGCCATTAGTTGGCTTCTGGGGTCCCAGTTTGCCCCGGACAAACCAGGAAGATTTAAGTGTGCCAAGAGGCTGCATATTCAGACCACCTGAGCTGGGTCTCAAGGATTCTAATGAGGACAAGCAGTTTTAGGAACAGAGCTCTTT